TGCAGAAGTTGCAGCTGGCCTTTGCTTCCCTCCCACCTTTGAGTGTCTAAGGCTGCCCCAGGCTTGTGCTGTTGCCTCTGGGCCTGGAGATGCGCCCCAGCGTCCTCAGATGAGGTGAGGGTCCCCCACAAACTAAGCTCCAGCACCTGTCCTGCTGAGTGAGCTGGTCCCTCCCCTCAGGGCTCGTGTAGCCCTGAGGACTGTTCGGAGCCGTGTCCCAGGCCTCCTGGAGGCTCTGTAAATGCTCCTTTGTCAGGCTAACAAGCCACAACTCTGCTGCCCTTTCCCTGCTGTTCGCGTACCCGCTGTCTATTTCGTTGTAGTTTGGAGCCGAGTTCCGAAGGTTCTCCTTGGACCGTCAAAAGCCTGGAAAGTTCGAAGACTTCTACAAGCTGGTCGTGCACACCCATCACATCTCCAACACCGAGGTGACCATCGGCTACGCGGACGTGCATGGCGACCTGCTGCCCATCAACAACGATGACAACTTCTGCAAGGCAGTCTCCAGCGCAAACCCCCTGCTCAGGGTTTTCATCCAGAAACGAGGTACCGAGGAGGCTGAGCTCGTGCTCTTGCTTGGCACTCATTTAAGAAATAAATACAGTTTTCTATTTTGTCTGTCATTTCAGAACCATGTTATTCTGCTTTCTAGCCTTTGGTGGGAGACTAAAGAAATTAACATCTGTTTGGTCAACGTTAATTTCTTAGAAAGGCTTAACAATATTTAAGCTGCATTTTCCACCTGAAATCGTGTTGACTTATGATTTTTAAATACCGAGGAAACATAATATCGGTATTTTCAGTATTTTAACTGGATGCATTAGCCAGTAACCCAAGAGTGAAACTTAAGGTTGTTAGTATATGTTTTCCACTGTCTTCTTAGGGTTGAAAAAAATGTTAGCTTTAGATTATAACTTTGGTTAACTTTTAGCTCTGAAGCCCTAGCTTTGCTGTAAGTAAGAACAATATCATTTTATGTGAGAATAAGTCACTAACACAGGTTAACGGCTGAAAGGTGGGGCACCCTGCTGTGGAGTCACTTCTCAGAGCTGCGTGTTAGATTTGTTTTATCGTCCCTGAACTTGGGAGAACCCTAAAGATTCTACATAACGTACTGAAGAAAAGAGCCACCTGCAGGCAAGGCCTGAGGTTAAAGAAAGAGGCACCTTATGATTGCCCTGGTCACAACCGTCCCTCCTTCCCTGAGCAGACCTCTGTGCCCACAGCAAGTGCTGACCACCCCGGGGGAGCAGCGTGGCGGTGGGGACACTGTACTCGCCGTTGTGGACTTCCGGCGTAGGGGAGGAGAGAGAACGGTCTTAGCCTCTGGGGCAGTGGGGCAGCTTCACAGACACTAGAAGCCGCAGCACAGCGTGCTGGGCGGGGCGCCCTCCAGGCTGCGGGAGCCAGAGCCAGGCTTGGTAAGCGTGAGACTGCAGGAGGCCGAAGTACGGGCCCAGGTGCCTGGCTCTCTGTCCTCCGCCCGAGTCCCCCCCTTTGCATGACGGTGTTCGAAGAGTGCTCGCCCGCCAAGCTGTCCCGAGGTTGGGAGGCCGCACATGCTGAGTGCTCAGAGCGGGCTGGCCGGCAGCCCGTGCTCTGAACACTGGCTGCTGCTGTCCTCTCGTCTTTGGTGTTGGAAGGGAGTGTGTAGCAAGGGAACGGCAGGGGATCTGCTGACCTCACTTTGGGCTGGTTCCCTGGCACTAGATCAGAAAGCTCTGCATCTGCAGCCCTGGTTTAGCCTGGGTGTCCTGCTGATGGTACCGAAAGTCAACACAGCTGTCACTTCCTCATGGTGGCCTGGGGGAACTGGCTTTCGCTCCCCTGTGGAGTTGCTGGGGCCGCAGGGAGCCCACCGCTCCTCACGTCGTTTGGGTGCCTCTTCTCGTCCACCCTCTCAGAGAGGCCTGGTCTTGATTGGCCTGTGTACCCCCGCCCTCATCCTCTTGTCCCTTTATTCTGCTCTCTCTGTGTTATATCATCAGTTGCTCCCAGGGCTGGCGCCTGCTCCAGATCCCACGTCCACAGCTTTGCCCTGGCCATCCCAGGTCGCGGCGTTGTCTCACAGTGTGCGGAAGGGTGCGTAGTGGGTGTGAAGCCCTGTGAGTGACGGACGTGCACACGGGCTCTGCCACCTGTGTAGGAAACAGGCCTCCCTGTACTGCTGCGTTGGGAGCACCGCCGCAGGCACTCTTGCCCTTTGTGAGGGCAGCCCTAGGGACACTTGGCAGCCTGTGCTGTCGAGTCACCGAAGCTCAGGTGAGGCGAGAAGCCGCAGGCGGGGATGTGCCGGCTTCCGCGGGTCGCTCGGATGGCTTTGCGGCTCAGCTTGCTGGCTCAGGCCCTGCCTCCTGTCTTTACTATTTTCTTTTCCTCT